GGCACTCCCAGAACGGCAACTTGCCATTCGAGAGGGCTTCCTTGATGTATGCTTTGATTATGCAGACCACTAAAACTAAGTTTAAGTAAAGAACTTTAAGGAATCCTTACGGCCTAATTCTCGGCTTCTGGTCAGCTGGAGGGCCTGCAATATTTGATTGTCTTGTGGTTGGATATCCACCGCCGGATGTTGATTGGTATGAAGTTGAGAAAGACTTCCCAGATAAAATTTTATTAGGTATCACAATGGAAAAAAGATATGCCCCGGCCCTCGTCACAAGATCCAGGTTGCTGGTGGTGGTTCGCATGCCCTTCTAATACAAGATGTTTGTACTGAAGATGCGGGTGAATATGTCGCTATTGCGCGTAACTGTCATGGACAGGCACAAAGTTCTGCCATTTTGGATGTAACAGTTCCATTCATGGACAAGATTAAATTTGACGGTTCTGAAGACGTTACACCATATTTAACGGTCCGCTGGAATAGCAATGTTTACTAAAAAAGATTTTTATTTATAGGAAGAATACGGATTCAGAAGGCAAATGAAATCAATTCCAAAACCCCCTGATAGAGGGCCTTTCATAAAGTGAGAAGCTTAAAGATTTGACTTATCCTTAATCTCTTATTATTGTAGAGAAGTTACTGGCCATTATTTAACCCTTTCCTGGATTCCAACAAAGAGAAGTCCTCCAAGATACCCTCAAGTTACATATGTTATCGAATTTCGTGAATTGCCTGATAAAGACTGGCAACTACTTGACTACAATATTCCAGAGCCTGTCTGCAAAGTTCGAAATCTTGAACTGGGAAAAAGCTACCAGTTTCGTGTTCGTGCCGAGAATATTTATGGAATTAGCGATCCATCTCCCCCATCACCCCCATCGAGGCTAATGGCAAGACCTCCACCAGTTTTAGACAAGTTCCGCCGAGTTATACCTCTTCTTGACCCTTACATGGAGCGAGCTTTAGATCAAGCACATGCTGAACAATATGCTTGCACTCCTTGGTGCTGAAAATTTTTTAAAGAAGTTTTATTGAAAATATTTTTAGGTTCGCGCCAGGCGTGAAAGAAAGACACTTCGTTGCAGAAACTGACCATCTTTCAATTACTTTACATTATGCAGGATATCCTGATCCAAAAATTACATGGAAACATAGAGGTTGGGATATTGATGCCTCCGGGCCAACCTCAAACATTCGGTGATTTTTTGCTTAAAAAATAATATTTCTGAATACTTCCAGTATTTCCTCACATGCTGGTGCTGAGACTACCATCACATTCCTAGGCTTTCAAAAGTCAAATGCTGGGCAATATACCTGTGTGGCTGAGAACCAGTATGGAAAAGCTGAACAAAATTTACTTGTTGATGTTGCTAGTGAGTTTAAGATAATGATAAGCTTTATCAGTTGAAACTTTTAGCCCGCCCAAAATTCACTCAACCTTTATCAAATCGGGATTACACTTCTGATAAGCCATTAAGGCTAAATGTTCGTGTAGAAGGCAATCCTGTGCCAGAGGTTAAATGGCTTAAGGTGCATAAATATTGGTTTTATCCCCCTAAATTTTAAATATTTGATCAAAGGATTGGCGGCCAGTTGCCGAATCTTCACGCGTTCATCTGATTCAAGAAGATTCGAATTTGCGTACACTGCTTATTGATCAACCCATTTGGAGCGATTCCGGCATTTATACGTAAAATTTTTAAATAATTTATTCACGAAAAATAGGAGCCCTTGTCGCTATTGTACCCTTCATATTGTACTTCTCTAATGAGATTATTTGTTCCTGAGAAATCTTTAGATTTCTGGAGCCGAAAGCGATATCCAACTTTCTGGATATCCGGGTTCGACATCCTTAGAACTCCCAACCCTACTCTCTGATAAAGACAGCGTCCTATAGAAAAATAAACTAAATTTATTTACAGCTGTACTGCCTTCAACGACGCAGGTCAAGCAGTTACTTCTTGTACTATTACTGTAGAAGGTTATCCAAATATTTTTTAAAAATAAATTTAATTTATTTAACAGTCGAAAATGACTTTTTGAAAGATTTCAAACTAAAAGACTTTCGAAAATCTATAAAATTGGAGCGCGGACCTCTTCGAGATATTTATGATATTCAAGAAGCTGTAGATTAAATTTATTTTTAAAAAATATTTGGATAACCTTCTACAGTAATAGTACAAGAAGTAACTGCTTGACCTGCGTCGTTGAAGGCAGTACAGCTGTAAATAAATTTAGTTTATTTTTCTATAGGACGCTGTCTTTATCAGAGAGTAGGGTTGGGAGTTCTAAGGATGTCGAACCCGGATATCCAGAAAGTTGGATATCGCTTTCGGCTCCAGAAATGGCTTAAGGTGCATAAATATTGGTTTTATCCCCCTAAATTTTAAATATTTGATCAAAGGATTGGCGGCCAGTTGCCGAATCTTCACGCGTTCATCTGATTCAAGAAGATTCGAATTTGCGTACACTGCTTATTGATCAACCCATTTGGAGCGATTCCGGCATTTATACGTAAAATTTTTAAATAATTTATTCACGAAAAATAGGAGCCCTTGTCGCTATTGTACCCTTCATATTGTACTTCTCTAATGAGATTATTTGTTCCTGAGAAATCTTTAGATTTCTGGAGCCGAAAGCGATATCCAACTTTCTGGATATCCGGGTTCGACATCCTTAGAACTCCCAACCCTACTCTCTGATAAAGACAGCGTCCTATAGAAAAATAAACTAAATTTATTTACAGCTGTACTGCCTTCAACGACGCAGGTCAAGCAGTTACTTCTTGTACTATTACTGTAGAAGGTTATCCAAATATTTTTTAAAAATAAATTTAATCTACAGCTTCTTGAATATCATAAATATCTCGAAGAGGTCCGCGCTCCAATTTTATAGATTTTCGAAAGTCTTTTAGTTTGAAATCTTTCAAAAAGTCATTTTCGACTGTTAAATAAATTAAATTTATTTTTAAAAAATATTTGGATAACCTTCTACAGTAATAGTACAAGAAGTAACTGCTTGACCTGCGTCGTTGAAGGCAGTACAGCTGTAAATAAATTTAGTTTATTTTTCTATAGGACGCTGTCTTTATCAGAGAGTAGGGTTGGGAGTTCTAAGGATGTCGAACCCGGATATCCAGAAAGTTGGATATCGCTTTCGGCTCCAGAAATCTAAAGATTTCTCAGGAACAAATAATCTCATTAGAGAAGTACAATATGAAGGGTACAATAGCGACAAGGGCTCCTATTTTTCGTGAATAAATTATTTAAAAATTTTACGTATAAATGCCGGAATCGCTCCAAATGGGTTGATCAATAAGCAGTGTACGCAAATTCGAATCTTCTTGAATCAGATGAACGCGTGAAGATTCGGCAACTGGCCGCCAATCCTTTGATCAAATATTTAAAATTTAGGGGGATAAAACCAATATTTATGCACCTTAAGCCATTTAACCTCTGGCACAGGATTGCCTTCTACACGAACATTTAGCCTTAATGGCTTATCAGAAGTGTAATCCCGATTTGATAAAGGTTGAGTGAATTTTGGGCGGGCTAAAAGTTTCAACTGATAAAGCTTATCATTATCTTAAACTCACTAGCAACATCAACAAGTAAATTTTGTTCAGCTTTTCCATACTGGTTCTCAGCCACACAGGTATATTGCCCAGCATTTGACTTTTGAAAGCCTAGGAATGTGATGGTAGTCTCAGCACCAGCATGTGAGGAAATACTGGAAGTATTCAGAAATATTATTTTTTAAGCAAAAAATCACCGAATGTTTGAGGTTGGCCCGGAGGCATCAATATCCCAACCTCTATGTTTCCATGTAATTTTTGGATCAGGATATCCTGCATAATGTAAAGTAATTGAAAGATGGTCAGTTTCTGCAACGAAGTGTCTTTCTTTCACGCCTGGCGCGAACCTAAAAATATTTTCAATAAAACTTCTTTAAAAAATTTTCAGCACCAAGGAGTGCAAGCATATTGTTCAGCATGTGCTTGATCTAAAGCTCGCTCCATGTAAGGGTCAAGAAGAGGTATAACTCGGCGGAACTTGTCTAAAACTGGTGGAGGTCTTGCCATTAGCCTCGATGGGGGTGATGGGGGAGATGGATCGCTAATTCCATAAATATTCTCGGCACGAACACGAAACTGGTAGCTTTTTCCCAGTTCAAGATTTCGAACTTTGCAGACAGGCTCTGGAATATTGTAGTCAAGTAGTTGCCAGTCTTTATCAGGCAATTCACGAAATTCGATAACATATGTAACTTGAGGGTATCTTGGAGGACTTCTCTTTGTTGGAATCCAGGAAAGGGTTAAATAATGGCCAGTAACTTCTCTACAATAATAAGAGATTAAGGATAAGTCAAATCTTTAAGCTTCTCACTTTATGAAAGGCCCTCTATCAGGGGGTTTTGGAATTGATTTCATTTGCCTTCTGAATCCGTATTCTTCCTATAAATAAAAATCTTTTTTAGTAAACATTGCTATTCCAGCGGACCGTTAAATATGGTGTAACGTCTTCAGAACCGTCAAATTTAATCTTGTCCATGAATGGAACTGTTACATCCAAAATGGCAGAACTTTGTGCCTGTCCATGACAGTTACGCGCAATAGCGACATATTCACCCGCATCTTCAGTACAAACATCTTGTATTAGAAGGGCATGCGAACCACCACCAGCAACCTGGATCTTGTGACGAGGGCCGGGGCATATCTTTTTTCCATTGTGATACCTAATAAAATTTTATCTGGGAAGTCTTTCTCAACTTCATACCAATCAACATCCGGCGGTGGATATCCAACCACAAGACAATCAAATATTGCAGGCCCTCCAGCTGACCAGAAGCCGAGAATTAGGCCGTAAGGATTCCTTAAAGTTCTTTACTTAAACTTAGTTTTAGTGGTCTGCATAATCAAAGCATACATCAAGGAAGCCCTCTCGAATGGCAAGTTGCCGTTCTGGGAGTGCCTACGCCAAGTGTTGAATGGCTTAAGGATGGTAAACCTTTGGCAGAAGCTGCTGGCGCACCTGACTCGAGGATAAGTATTTTCCAAGATGAGCGAGGCCTTCATCATTTGGTTGGAACTTATACCGATTCCTCTATACAATTAACTCTCTTCAGGTAATTGTAAATGTTCAACCAGACGATGCCGGAGATTATTCAGTTGTTGCAAAAAATCCACTTGGAGAGGTTGTCTCCACAGGCTCCTTAAGTGTCATTCGACCTCGTGTTGTTGAAGGAGAAGAAGAGGAAGGACGTGGAGCTATGCCATTCCCACCTGGCTTTATTAGACAACTCAAGAACAAACATGTATTCGTTAAAATGCCTGCAATATTTGATTGTCTTGTGGTTGGATATCCACCGCCGGATGTTGATTGGTATGAAGTTGAGAAAGACTTCCCAGATAAAATTTTATTAGGTATCACAATGGAAAAAAGATATGCCCCGGCCCTCGTCACAAGATCCAGGTTGCTGGTGGTGGTTCGCATGCCCTTCTAATACAAGATGTTTGTACTGAAGATGCGGGTGAATATGTCGCTATTGCGCGTAACTGTCATGGACAGGCACAAAGTTCTGCCATTTTGGATGTAACAGTTCCATTCATGGACAAGATTAAATTTGACGGTTCTGAAGACGTTACACCATATTTAACGGTCCGCTGGAATAGCAATGTTTACTAAAAAAGATTTTTATTTATAGGAAGAATACGGATTCAGAAGGCAAATGAAATCAATTCCAACACCCCCTGATAGAGGGCCTTTCATAAAGTGAGAAGCTTAAAGATTTGACTTATCCTTAATCTCTTATTATTGTAGAGAAGTTACTGGCCATTATTTAACCCTTTCCTGGATTCCAACAAAGAGAAGTCCTCCAAGATACCCTCAAGTTACATATGTTATCGAATTTCGTGAATTGCCTGATAAAGACTGGCAACTACTTGACTACAATATTCCAGAGCCTGTCTGCAAAGTTCGAAATCTTGAACTGGGAAAAAGCTACCAGTTTCGTGTTCGTGCCGAGAATATTTATGGAATTAGCGATCCATCTCCCCCATCACCCCCATCGAGGCTAATGGCAAGACCTCCACCAGTTTTAGACAAGTTCCGCCGAGTTATACCTCTTCTTGACCCTTACATGGAGCGAGCTTTAGATCAAGCACATGCTGAACAATATGCTTGCACTCCTTGGTGCTGAAAATTTTTTAAAGAAGTTTTATTGAAAATATTTTTAGGTTCGCGCCAGGCGTGAAAGAAAGACACTTCGTTGCAGAAACTGACCATCTTTCAATTACTTTACATTATGCAGGATATCCTGATCCAAAAATTACATGGAAACATAGAGGTTGGGATATTGATGCCTCCGGGCCAACCTCAAACATTCGGTGATTTTTTGCTTAAAAAATAATATTTCTGAATACTTCCAGTATTTCCTCACATGCTGGTGCTGAGACTACCATCACATTCCTAGGCTTTCAAAAGTCAAATGCTGGGCAATATACCTGTGTGGCTGAGAACCAGTATGGAAAAGCTGAACAAAATTTACTTGTTGATGTTGCTAGTGAGTTTAAGATAATGATAAGCTTTATCAGTTGAAACTTTTAGCCCGCCCAAAATTCACTCAACCTTTATCAAATCGGGATTACACTTCTGATAAGCCATTAAGGCTAAATGTTCGTGTAGAAGGCAATCCTGTGCCAGAGGTTAAATGGCTTAAGGTGCATAAATATTGGTTTTATCCCCCTAAATTTTAAATATTTGATCAAATATTGGTTTTATCCCCCTAAATTTTAAATATTTGATCAAAGGATTGGCGGCCAGTTGCCGAATCTTCACGCGTTCATCTGATTCAAGAAGATTCGAATTTGCGTACACTGCTTATTGATCAACCCATTTGGAGCGATTCCGGCATTTATACGTAAAATTTTTAAATAATTTATTCACGAAAAATAGGAGCCCTTGTCGCTATTGTACCCTTCATATTGTACTTCTCTAATGAGATTATTTGTTCCTGAGAAATCTTTAGATTTCTGGAGCCGAAAGCGATATCCAACTTTCTGGATATCCGGGTTCGACATCCTTAGAACTCCCAACCCTACTCTCTGATAAAGACAGCGTCCTATAGAAAAATAAACTAAATTTATTTACAGCTGTACTGCCTTCAACGACGCAGGTCAAGCAGTTACTTCTTGTACTATTACTGTAGAAGGTTATCCAAATATTTTTTAAAAATAAATTTAATCTACAGCTTCTTGAATATCATAAATATCTCGAAGAGGTCCGCGCTCCAATTTTATAGATTTTCGAAAGTCTTTTAGTTTGAAATCTTTCAAAAAGTCATTTTCGACTGTTAAATAAATTAAATTTATTTTTAAAAAATATTTGGATAACCTTCTACAGTAATAGTACAAGAAGTAACTGCTTGACCTGCGTCGTTGAAGGCAGTACAGCTGTAAATAAATTTAGTTTATTTTTCTATAGGACGCTGTCTTTATCAGAGAGTAGGGTTGGGAGTTCTAAGGATGTCGAACCCGGATATCCAGAAAGTTGGATATCGCTTTCGGCTCCAGAAATCTAAAGATTTCTCAGGAACAAATAATCTCATTAGAGAAGTACAATATGAAGGGTACAATAGCGACAAGGGCTCCTATTTTTCGTGAATAAATTATTTAAAAATTTTACGTATAAATGCCGGAATCGCTCCAAATGGGTTGATCAATAAGCAGTGTACGCAAATTCGAATCTTCTTGAATCAGATGAACGCGTGAAGATTCGGCAACTGGCCGCCAATCCTTTGATCAAATATTTAAAATTTAGGGGGATAAAACCAATATTTGATCAAATATTTAAAATTTAGGGGGATAAAACCAATATTTATGCACCTTAAGCCATTTAACCTCTGGCACAGGATTGCCTTCTACACGAACATTTAGCCTTAATGGCTTATCAGAAGTGTAATCCCGATTTGATAAAGGTTGAGTGAATTTTGGGCGGGCTAAAAGTTTCAACTGATAAAGCTTATCATTATCTTAAACTCACTAGCAACATCAACAAGTAAATTTTGTTCAGCTTTTCCATACTGGTTCTCAGCCACACAGGTATATTGCCCAGCATTTGACTTTTGAAAGCCTAGGAATGTGATGGTAGTCTCAGCACCAGCATGTGAGGAAATACTGGAAGTATTCAGAAATATTATTTTTTAAGCAAAAAATCACCGAATGTTTGAGGTTGGCCCGGAGGCATCAATATCCCAACCTCTATGTTTCCATGTAATTTTTGGATCAGGATATCCTGCATAATGTAAAGTAATTGAAAGATGGTCAGTTTCTGCAACGAAGTGTCTTTCTTTCACGCCTGGCGCGAACCTAAAAATATTTTCAATAAAACTTCTTTAAAAAATTTTCAGCACCAAGGAGTGCAAGCATATTGTTCAGCATGTGCTTGATCTAAAGCTCGCTCCATGTAAGGGTCAAGAAGAGGTATAACTCGGCGGAACTTGTCTAAAACTGGTGGAGGTCTTGCCATTAGCCTCGATGGGGGTGATGGGGGAGATGGATCGCTAATTCCATAAATATTCTCGGCACGAACACGAAACTGGTAGCTTTTTCCCAGTTCAAGATTTCGAACTTTGCAGACAGGCTCTGGAATATTGTAGTCAAGTAGTTGCCAGTCTTTATCAGGCAATTCACGAAATTCGATAACATATGTAACTTGAGGGTATCTTGGAGGACTTCTCTTTGTTGGAATCCAGGAAAGGGTTAAATAATGGCCAGTAACTTCTCTACAATAATAAGAGATTAAGGATAAGTCAAATCTTTAAGCTTCTCACTTTATGAAAGGCCCTCTATCAGGGGGTGTTGGAATTGATTTCATTTGCCTTCTGAATCCGTATTCTTCCTATAAATAAAAATCTTTTTTAGTAAACATTGCTATTCCAGCGGACCGTTAAATATGGTGTAACGTCTTCAGAACCGTCAAATTTAATCTTGTCCATGAATGGAACTGTTACATCCAAAATGGCAGAACTTTGTGCCTGTCCATGACAGTTACGCGCAATAGCGACATATTCACCCGCATCTTCAGTACAAACATCTTGTATTAGAAGGGCATGCGAACCACCACCAGCAACCTGGATCTTGTGACGAGGGCCGGGGCATATCTTTTTTCCATTGTGATACCTAATAAAATTTTATCTGGGAAGTCTTTCTCAACTTCATACCAATCAACATCCGGCGGTGGATATCCAACCACAAGACAATCAAATATTGCAGGCATTTTAACGAATACATGTTTGTTCTTGAGTTGTCTAATAAAGCCAGGTGGGAATGGCATAGCTCCACGTCCTTCCTCTTCTTCTCCTTCAACAACACGAGGTCGAATGACACTTAAGGAGCCTGTGGAGACAACCTCTCCAAGTGGATTTTTTGCAACAACTGAATAATCTCCGGCATCGTCTGGTTGAACATTTACAATTACCTGAAGAGAGTTAATTGTATAGAGGAATCGGTATAAGTTCCAACCAAATGATGAAGGCCTCGCTCATCTTGGAAAATACTTATCCTCGAGTCAGGTGCGCCAGCAGCTTCTGCCAAAGGTTTACCATCCTTAAGCCATTCAACACTTGGCGTAGGCACTCCCAGAACGGCAACTTGCCATTCGAGAGGGCTTCCTTGATGTATGCTTTGATTATGCAGACCACTAAAACTAAGTTTAAGTAAAGAACTTTAAGGAATCCTTACGGCCTAATTCTCGGCTTCTGGTCAGCTGGAGGGCCTGCAATATTTGATTGTCTTGTGGTTGGATATCCACCGCCGGATGTTGATTGGTATGAAGTTGAGAAAGACTTCCCAGATAAAATTTTATTAGGTATCACAATGGAAAAAAGATATGCCCCGGCCCTCGTCACAAGATCCAGGTTGCTGGTGGTGGTTCGCATGCCCTTCTAATACAAGATGTTTGTACTGAAGATGCGGGTGAATATGTCGCTATTGCGCGTAACTGTCATGGACAGGCACAAAGTTCTGCCATTTTGGATGTAACAGTTCCATTCATGGACAAGATTAAATTTGACGGTTCTGAAGACGTTACACCATATTTAACGGTCCGCTGGAATAGCAATGTTTACTAAAAAAGATTTTTATTTATAGGAAGAATACGGATTCAGAAGGCAAATGAAATCAATTCCAAAACCCCCTGATAGAGGGCCTTTCATAAAGTGAGAAGCTTAAAGATTTGACTTATCCTTAATCTCTTATTATTGTAGAGAAGTTACTGGCCATTATTTAACCCTTTCCTGGATTCCAACAAAGAGAAGTCCTCCAAGATACCCTCAAGTTACATATGTTATCGAATTTCGTGAATTGCCTGATAAAGACTGGCAACTACTTGACTACAATATTCCAGAGCCTGTCTGCAAAGTTCGAAATCTTGAACTGGGAAAAAGCTACCAGTTTCGTGTTCGTGCCGAGAATATTTATGGAATTAGCGATCCATCTCCCCCATCACCCCCATCGAGGCTAATGGCAAGACCTCCACCAGTTTTAGACAAGTTCCGCCGAGTTATACCTCTTCTTGACCCTTACATGGAGCGAGCTTTAGATCAAGCACATGCTGAACAATATGCTTGCACTCCTTGGTGCTGAAAATTTTTTAAAGAAGTTTTATTGAAAATATTTTTAGGTTCGCGCCAGGCGTGAAAGAAAGACACTTCGTTGCAGAAACTGACCATCTTTCAATTACTTTACATTATGCAGGATATCCTGATCCAAAAATTACATGGAAACATAGAGGTTGGGATATTGATGCCTCCGGGCCAACCTCAAACATTCGGTGATTTTTTGCTTAAAAAATAATATTTCTGAATACTTCCAGTATTTCCTCACATGCTGGTGCTGAGACTACCATCACATTCCTAGGCTTTCAAAAGTCAAATGCTGGGCAATATACCTGTGTGGCTGAGAACCAGTATGGAAAAGCTGAACAAAATTTACTTGTTGATGTTGCTAGTGAGTTTAAGATAATGATAAGCTTTATCAGTTGAAACTTTTAGCCCGCCCAAAATTCACTCAACCTTTATCAAATCGGGATTACACTTCTGATAAGCCATTAAGGCTAAATGTTCGTGTAGAAGGCAATCCTGTGCCAGAGGTTAAATGGCTTAAGGTGCATAAATATTGGTTTTATCCCCCTAAATTTTAAATATTTGATCAAAGGATTGGCGGCCAGTTGCCGAATCTTCACGCGTTCATCTGATTCAAGAAGATTCGAATTTGCGTACACTGCTTATTGATCAACCCATTTGGAGCGATTCCGGCATTTATACGTAAAATTTTTAAATAATTTATTCACGAAAAATAGGAGCCCTTGTCGCTATTGTACCCTTCATATTGTACTTCTCTAATGAGATTATTTGTTCCTGAGAAATCTTTAGATTTCTGGAGCCGAAAGCGATATCCAACTTTCTGGATATCCGGGTTCGACATCCTTAGAACTCCCAACCCTACTCTCTGATAAAGACAGCGTCCTATAGAAAAATAAACTAAATTTATTTACAGCTGTACTGCCTTCAACGACGCAGGTCAAGCAGTTACTTCTTGTACTATTACTGTAGAAGGTTATCCAAATATTTTTTAAAAATAAATTTAATTTATTTAACAGTCGAAAATGACTTTTTGAAAGATTTCAAACTAAAAGACTTTCGAAAATCTATAAAATTGGAGCGCGGACCTCTTCGAGATATTTATGATATTCAAGAAGCTGTAGATTAAATTTATTTTTAAAAAATATTTGGATAACCTTCTACAGTAATAGTACAAGAAGTAACTGCTTGACCTGCGTCGTTGAAGGCAGTACAGCTGTAAATAAATTTAGTTTATTTTTCTATAGGACGCTGTCTTTATCAGAGAGTAGGGTTGGGAGTTCTAAGGATGTCGAACCCGGATATCCAGAAAGTTGGATATCGCTTTCGGCTCCAGAAATCTAAAGATTTCTCAGGAACAAATAATCTCATTAGAGAAGTACAATATGAAGGGTACAATAGCGACAAGGGCTCCTATTTTTCGTGAATAAATTATTTAAAAATTTTACGTATAAATGCCGGAATCGCTCCAAATGGGTTGATCAATAAGCAGTGTACGCAAATTCGAATCTTCTTGAATCAGATGAACGCGTGAAGATTCGGCAACTGGCCGCCAATCCTTTGATCAAATATTTAAAATTTAGGGGGATAAAACCAATATTTATGCACCTTAAGCCATTTAACCTCTGGCACAGGATTGCCTTCTACACGAACATTTAGCCTTAATGGCTTATCAGAAGTGTAATCCCGATTTGATAAAGGTTGAGTGAATTTTGGGCGGGCTAAAAGTTTCAACTGATAAAGCTTATCATTATCTTAAACTCACTAGCAACATCAACAAGTAAATTTTGTTCAGCTTTTCCATACTGGTTCTCAGCCACACAGGTATATTGCCCAGCATTTGACTTTTGAAAGCCTAGGAATGTGATGGTAGTCTCAGCACCAGCATGTGAGGAAATACTGGAAGTATTCAGAAATATTATTTTTTAAGCAAAAAATCACCGAATGTTTGAGGTTGGCCCGGAGGCATCAATATCCCAACCTCTATGTTTCCATGTAATTTTTGGATCAGGATATCCTGCATAATGTAAAGTAATTGAAAGATGGTCAGTTTCTGCAACGAAGTGTCTTTCTTTCACGCCTGGCGCGAACCTAAAAATATTTTCAATAAAACTTCTTTAAAAAATTTTCAGCACCAAGGAGTGCAAGCATATTGTTCAGCATGTGCTTGATCTAAAGCTCGCTCCATGTAAGGGTCAAGAAGAGGTATAACTCGGCGGAACTTGTCTAAAACTGGTGGAGGTCTTGCCATTAGCCTCGATGGGGGTGATGGGGGAGATGGATCGCTAATTCCATAAATATTCTCGGCACGAACACGAAACTGGTAGCTTTTTCCCAGTTCAAGATTTCGAACTTTGCAGACAGGCTCTGGAATATTGTAGTCAAGTAGTTGCCAGTCTTTATCAGGCAATTCACGAAATTCGATAACATATGTAACTTGAGGGTATCTTGGAGGACTTCTCTTTGTTGGAATCCAGGAAAGGGTTAAATAATGGCCAGTAACTTCTCTACAATAATAAGAGATTAAGGATAAGTCAAATCTTTAAGCTTCTCACTTTATGAAAGGCCCTCTATCAGGGGGTTTTGGAATTGATTTCATTTGCCTTCTGAATCCGTATTCTTCCTATAAATAAAAATCTTTTTTAGTAAACATTGCTATTCCAGCGGACCGTTAAATATGGTGTAACGTCTTCAGAACCGTCAAATTTAATCTTGTCCATGAATGGAACTGTTACATCCAAAATGGCAGAACTTTGTGCCTGTCCATGACAGTTACGCGCAATAGCGACATATTCACCCGCATCTTCAGTACAAACATCTTGTATTAGAAGGGCATGCGAACCACCACCAGCAACCTGGATCTTGTGACGAGGGCCGGGGCATATCT